GGGGGGATGGCAGGGGAGATAACAGTACTAGGGAGGGCCCTCTTGAGGAGCCAGAGAAAGCCAAGCCTGTTATTCTTCAGCTCATCTACTAAGTGCTGCCCAGGTGGGAAGGCAGAAGGGAGAGTAATTAACAGTACCCTGTAAAGTAAAGCAGCTTGTGCTGTTTGCAGAACCCTCCTGCCAAGGCTGGAGGTAGGAGGCCGCCTCCAACCTCCTCGTAGCCTGCTTCTCTCTCTCGTTGCCCTTTCGCTGCCAAGCCCAGTACCTGGGCTGGGGCCCTCCTCCTCCCTGCACATTGCTCCTCTCACTCGCACGTCGGTGCTGGTGGCCATCAACACCCATCACACGTGCAGCCGCCCCCAATACGCGAGGGCTACACCCGGGCGGACCCGGCAACGGCTTCCTCCCCTCCGCGCCACCCACGTCCCGGGCCTCCTGGGAGGCGGAGCCGTTGGTCCACAAGGAGAATGGGAGGGGGAAGCTGTGCGCGCTCCCCTTGCCGGGCCCCGGATGGTCCCGGCTGTTTGTGCCGCGCTGTGCGAGGAAGGAAGCCTCAGGTGGGGCCGCGTGCACGAGAGGAAAGAGTCTCTAGACTCGAGGACCCAGGGGGTCGCAGGGCAGGATGCGGACCTATGCGCGGGGCGGGAGTCCCGGCTGCATCCAGAAGGGAGGGGCGGGGGCAGTAAAGCTAGCACCCGAGGCCACGGAGATGGGCAGAAGACCAGGGTGACCAGGATGTGGAAGGGTGGGGATCAAGTGCACACCCTACTCCCATCCCGGGGCCCTATCAGCAGGTAAATGTCGTACAAACCCGGGGCTGGCCCTCAGGTGGCGGGCCGCGAGGTAGAGAATGCTACAGTTGCGCCGGGGACAGTCGGAGGCGCAGGGACCACTAAAAGTGCGCAGGCTTCCGCACAGCGGGCAAAATGTAAAATGAAGCTTTTGGAGGCGGCAGCCTACCTGGCTCTGAAGAGCTCGGCACTCCAGGTGCTAGGGACCCCGCAGCTCCGTCCCGCCCACTTCCAAGCCCCCCAGCCCTCCACCGGCTACCTCATTGGTTCAATAAGAATTTCAAGACAGCGATGCAGAGAATTAATCAAGCGTGCAGTACCCCTGGGCCTCCCTGCATCACCCGCGTACCCACCCAGACTCCCACTCCGTCTCGACTGAACTCATCCCCAGACCCTCCCCCACGACCCTCTCGCCCACGATGCCCCGGAGCCAGTGCAGGCGGCGGCATCCGCAGTCCTCCCAGTGCCCCGACGGCTCGGCGTCCCGCCAAGCACGCCTTCGCTGCGGACATCCGACGGCCTGTCTGCCGTGCCGGCCGGCTCAGGCACCCACCGCATAGCTGTAGATGGAACACGCGCCTGGTGGCTGTGGCCATGGCCCTGGCGATAGGCTGCGGGGCGGCTGCACATACGCGCGCACACCCGGGATCCTTACCCGGTGCTTCGGACCCCAAACTTGGAGTCTCGGCCCAGCCAGTGGAGGAAGCTGGTGACACACACCCGCGCCGCGCCTGGGTCCTAATGCCGCTCAGACGCCCCGCCCGGGCGCGGGAAGCCATGCGTTCCAGGACTGGGTGCCGCCTGTCCGCCCCGCGTCCTTACCCGCGGTCCTGACAACCCCAGGCGTTCGGTTCCTGGGAGCCCGTGCCGACTTAGGCAGAACGTGTAGACCCGGCTCCTGGCCAGCGCTCCCGCCCAGGCGTCTCCGGGTTAGGGGCTGGGCGGGGCTGTGAAGTTTCTGGGAGGAAGCTCGTTGGGCCCAGGGACCCACAGAGTCAGGTCACTGCAGCAGGTCTAGGGAGTGCTTCTTCGTCTTCGGACTTAAGTGCTCCGCGGGCCCCCGCCCCCTCTTCTCAGCAGGGGGCGCCTGCACCGCCCAGCCCAACACCTGCACCGCCCCCTCCTTTCAACCCGGTTGCTCAGGCGATAAACCTTCCTACTCCTCTTCCAGGAAGCGCGCCCGGACTAACGAGACGGGCCGGCGTGCCTTCCCTGGGGCTACGCCCTGGCCTGCTGAGCTCGCCTCCCTCCAGGTTTGGCGGCGTCGAATTTGCTAGCGCCCCGTGGATTCTCCCCTGGCCTTGTTGCGCCCTGAGTCTTCTGGGTCAAGGTCTCGGCTCGCGCTTTTTTTCCTTCCCAAGATTGCTGGGTTTTCCTACTCCGACAGGCGAGAGCCCGGGGACGCGCCTTCTCAGACGCCTAGTATTGTGGTAGTAGGAGTGAGAGGAGGAGGGGCGGGGAGGGGAGGGAGGAGAGGAAGGAAGAGAGAGCGCTAGCTAGTATGTCTGTGTAGGGAGGTTGTGCGGCCAACCCAGCCCATGCGATGAACCCTTCGGTGGCTTCTCAGCAAATGATTCCACAACCGTAGAATGGGCCTTGGATTGACCCAAGACCTCCCCTATCCTCCCCGCAAGTGTTAATTCCGCATCCCTCCACACTGGCCACGAGCCCCAGGACTAGCAGTGATCCCTTCCTCACCTTCTACTGGGATGGAATCCTCAGCCACTGTCCCCCAGGCATGGGAGAGTGCTGGCAGGGCAAGCAGAGGGTGGGCCCACCTTGTGAAGTGACTGTCCTGCAGCACCTCTTGCAGCTCCCGGAGCATTGGGGGAGCCCCAAACACAGACCTGATGAGTAAGACTGACAGAGTTTCTCCTACCAGAAAGATAAAAGTGAATTAGGAGCTAAACCATGGGGTGCCCCTCTTGGCAGATGAATGACTGAGGGTTAGGATAGCCCTGAGCACCCTGCTCCCTACTACTGCAGGAGATGCTGGGGGAGATACCTATTTTCCTACCTGACTGGGTAGACTGACTCATGCTGGCTACATGCTTCTTTCCTTGGGGCGAGCAGGGCTTGGGAGGAGAGAAATAGAGTTATCCTGGGTAACTCCCTTCACTTTGCTCTCTTCCTAGACCCCCAACCCGTGGCACAGACTCCTGGAGTCATGGGGGTGGAGGATGGAGGTTGAGGGAGAAGCTGGAGAACAGACAGGCTGATTGCCCAGAGAGCATGACCAGATTGGGAGGTGGGGTACAGGGGCTGAACCCTTGAAAAACCACCCGTTTTGTCCCCATCCCATCCCATCTGGGAATGCCTAAGTTCTGCATCTGTCTCCCTGTGCCACTGACAGTGCCCAAACACCTGGACCTTCCAATCCAACTGTTCCAGGAAGCCGCCCTGGATCGGAGGGGCTGCCTCTCATTCTCCTTACTCCCACCTCCCTCATCTGAGGAAACAGAAGGTCACAGCCAAGGCCTCTCCCAGTGGTCTACAAACCTGATCCTTAGAGGAACTGACATTCCTCACCACAGCCTCCTGTACTCTGCACTTGCAGCAATGTGAGAAGCTATTTGCTTTAGTCTTACTCACCACCTATCCTCTGTGGATCAGAGGTCAAGGGCAAATGCATATGCCCCTGGTCTCCCCACCTGTGCCCAACTGGGTCCTTACACAGGCAGATGTTTTAGGGATCCAGATGTAAGTACACTATTCCTCTCAGTCCCTCCCTTGGGGGGTTCTCATTTCACTGGGCTGTGGACAACCATGAGTGCTGGGTTCCACGAAGCACTTATGGCTTTACAGTATCTTGTTAAAAAACAAAACCCAAAAGACTCCCTTGAACTCCTTGATCCAAGTACCATCCAATTCCTCAGCTGCACTTCAGACCAAATTTCTTGAGTTCTCTCTGTTCCTGTCTCACACCCTCTCCCTGCTTCTCTTACACCCACTCATACCCATCTTTTATCCTCACCACTCCACTGAAATTTCTTTTGTCAAGGTCACCCTCTGTCAACTTTCTTGCCAGCCCCTCCCCGACCCCAGCAGCACCTAGCACCATCAGTATTTCTTTTTTCTTGCAACACTTCTCACCTTCCCACCTCCACTGACCTAGCCTTCAATGTTGGGCTGCTCTGATTCTTTCCCTTAATCCACGTCTCTCAATTAGCCACAGCTGACAGGTCACTGAGCTCCTGACTTCCTACTTAACCCACTCCCCTCAACTTGGATGGCTAATAGGTAGTTCAAATGAAATTCAGGTAAAATAGAGCTCCTGAGTCCACCATCTACTTAGCTGCTCTGGACCTGAGTGTCACCCCGACTCAGCCACATCTGATCTGTGAGCAAATTTTATTGGGCTTAACTTCAAAATAAAAGCATGGTTCCGCCCACTTGCATCTCCAGCCTGGTCCATCATCTGGGCCTCTTGACTTGCCTCCTCCCCCTAATCCATTTTCCACCCCCAATGGCATCTAAGGGCACTTAGAAAAAAAAATCCAAACTCCCTACTGTGGCCTAGGGAATATGGGGTAGGGTAAGGGGTGCTGTACAACCTGGCCCCTGCCTATTTCCCACCTCATCCTATATCTCCTGCTCCCAGGGGAGTGAAGCTCTGGCCAGCCCCACCTGCCTTGAGGCCTTGATAGTCTGGTGCCTAGAAGACTTGTCCACAGCTCTTGTTAGGGCTCATTTCATCCTTTGGCTCTCAGAGAGACTTCCCCGGTCACACCGTCTAAAGTCAGTGCCTGCCTCCTTCCATCACAGACTCTCATGGCCTCTAACTATAGCATGGCCTTCTTTATTCTTACTCTACTGCCTGGGCCCTGTCACCTTGGCTAGACTGGAGCTCCTTGAGAGCAGGGCTATGTATTTGTCTTTCACCAGTGCAGCTCCTAGATAGTAGGTGCTCAATAAAACCTGTGGCATGTTGAACATATGATTGATGTCTCCAGAGGCTTTCAAACCAATAAAGACCTCCAGATGACCTCTCATCCTCTATCTCCCACCCTGACTAGGGTTTTCCCGCCAGATACTCCTGATTCTCTCTGCTTCCTTCCTCTCACCCTGGACTCCACTGCCATTATCGAGTCCTTTTATTTCTATTTCTAGTCTGCTCCTTCCCTCTGCCCTTGCCTTCCTTGGACACTTGGCAAGTGTGGCTTCCAGCAACTTACACCCATCAGCTTTCCCTGGAGTCACTCTAGTTTTACACGATTCTTGGGGCTCCCGCTGCCCAGAGCAGGCAGTCCTGACCTGGTGTTCCTGGGAGGAGAGATGCTGTTCTCACACTGTCTCTCAGGTGATGCTAGTGAGGGCTCAGGGAGGGACAGTGGCCTCCGCTGGCCTCCTCTCTCTCCTAGGGGACATCTCCAGGCCTTACAGGTGGGTCGGAGGAAGACCTTTTGGTGCCCGGCTAACACAGGACAAATCTCTCTGTGCTCCACATCCCACCCCCACCCTTATTGACAGTCAGAACCTAGCACTGGGCGGAGGTCTAATGACTGCTCAGTGATTCTATCTGGACAGCAGACTGTGGGCAGGAGGTTCCAGGGTTGCTCCACAGCCCTCATGTCAGGCCCTCCTGCTCTCTGACCTGGGTTCCAGTTCCACAGCCCAGTTTCTCAGCCAAGAACCCCCTGGAGAACAGACACCACCAAACACCAACCTACTTTCACCTGCTGTGCTCCAGGGCCGCAAGAGATATATACCACCCCCCCTGCGTGTGCGGCAATGCCCAATTACTTCCCCTAGCAGGATCCTTCAAGACAGACATGCACCACGTCAGAATCTTGCCCATCTTGCTGAAATGCAGATCCCCAGGCTGGACATGGTGTTCTCATTGATAAGTCCCCTGAGGAGACCAAGATTCTGCATTCCAACAAGCTCTTCAGGGCATGTTGAAGAGTGCAGAGAGCTTTGAGACAAAAGCCACAGGGCTGGCCCCAAACTTCCCTACCCTCATCTACCCCCAGGCCCTACCCCTTATTGAATTCCATCACCTGCCACCTGCGGCCTCCTAAGAGTTTGGGCAATCTATCACTCTCCCAGCCATCCGTGCCCTCTTTGGCCATTCTGTGTACCCCACATCCTCCCCATCTGTGGTTCTCATTTTCACTTGTCCCCTGTGTAAAGGGGCTGCCCAAAGTCCTGCCTCAAGCCTACCGTTCAGGGCCGCTGCTGCCTTTGGCCCCACTTCAGACCACCCTTCTCAAAAGCTCCAACCAGCTCCTTGAAAGAAGCTGGATGCACACACAGGGTAGTGAAAGTTAGCAGGAAGGAGCTGGACAACACCCTCAGGCCTTTTTTGTTCTGATAACTTTTATCTATAAAACAAAGAGGTTAAAATGGAGTCTTTTTATCTAGAAAATTCCCTGAGTTTCTGGTTATCTAACCATCTTTCCTCTTCCTGTTGTCCTCATTTTGCTATTATTTGTACATTCATCCAGGCATGAAATTTGAATAAAGATGTAAAGTTTCTTAAAAATTTGAAGCCAAGAGAAGAAAAATATTAAACTTCTTTATTGGTATGGGAAAAGCAGTAGTAACTGTAGGATAAAATGGGAATATATTACACTTTATTTGAGTAGCATTTTTTTTTTTACAGATTTATAATCATTTGACATAAAATTTATAGACCCTGATGCAATTTTTTTTTAACCAAATTATTTTGGCTGGTCAATTTAGCAATTGCAGAGGTCTGGGAAAAACAGCCATAATTTGTGGATCAACAAATTTATTTTTTTTCAAAGTTTTAGAGAACGAAACAAATTTTTTGGAATTATTTCAAAATGTTGGGTATTTTTCCAC